TAAAATTCCTTTAACCTTAAAATAGATCCAACTTTAAGGCCACACAAGTCGTTCACCAGATGCTTATAATATGAATCACCCTGTGTAATAATATTTGAATGCATGCTTATTTGAAGCCAGGTTCAATATTTTTGTCTACGAGTTAAAACTAAAACGACGAATTATGTAAAATGTTTCAGAGAACTCATTTTTCAAGAATGCGCGTTTGATATTTTTAACTCATTTTTCGACTACACTCGATAGGCGTAGATCTTTTGCGCTGTGATAAAAAGTCATTTTTTGATATCAGTAATGCTAATCAGCAGATCAAATCAAGTAAACCATAAAGCGAACCAACTACACCACAATAATTAGCATTAAACTTAAACCTTTTTTGTCTAGGAGGAACTTGATACGGTTGTCCTGGAATGGAATACGCATAGAATAGCGCGTTCTAGAAATAGCATTGCACCTTATGGACGACCATTCATGATGTATAACAGACCTCAAGATTTCATGTCCACCGACTACTTACATCCTGTAAGCATTGAGATGACAGAACTTTGGTTGGAAACAATACCCAAGCCAAGACTCACTTCAGATTATGACGTGTACCAGTTGGCTGCAATAATTATGGAGGAAGAGGGATGGGTCAAGACCAAACACGTAGAAGCAGCCATAGAATTATACAAGAATTTGAGACAGAAGTTTTTGAATATTCTTCCAATTCTATAAAATGATACCTATTATAGGTAACCTATATAAGCGTGGTTGTATTTTTTAACATTAAATATCTAAATAAAAGTTACGAATATATGTAATAATACAAAAACGTTATAAAAATCTTTTATTATCCTAAGAATATTTTTTTCCAGTTGCCCTTCATTAAAATTAAAGTTGCCGCGAATAGTTGCTGTACCCTATGGCGAATAGTCGTTGGTAATCAAGAAATATAGATAATTGTAAGATTTCCGTAGCTTAAAGACAACTGTATACATGTTATTGTTATTTATTATCAATTGTGGTATCGGTTTTTATGTCGAATTATTTGCCATTATTCGCCATTAATATTCGACATAAAAACGATACCATAATTAGACATAAATAACAATCAGGTATACGGAAATCTAACGATTACCTATATTTCTTAATTACAAAAAAAATAACCCGATTTTTTCCCTCATATATGTCTAATAATTCCACTATTCCACTATTCGCCATACTCAGACCGCAAACTCCACAAATTCTTCCATGCTGAGAAACATACACAATACAATACTGTCGTCTGCAATTGAACTGGCGTAGAACGGAGTTCGGCCGTAACTACTCGTAGGATAACGAACCAGTGTTGCCACAAATTGCCAGAAATTGGCAGAGTGTACATTTACAGAAAAAGTGTAAATTTACAGAAAAAGTGTAAATTTACAGAAAAAGTGTAAATTTGCAGAAAAAGTGTAAATTTTTCTAAATATATTTTTTAATATTGACATGGCAGCTCTACGCTTTCGTACTATCCTAATTATAAAAATTATAAAATTCAGTCGAAGGTAAAAAACGGCTATACATTTTTTAGGCAAGATTTTTTTAGGGCATAACTTTTCCAAAAATGGGCAAATTGATTTTCTCAAAAAAAGTTAAATGGGGGACCCGCGATCAATTTTTTCATTTCGCTTGTTTTTTTTTAAATTAAAGTGCTCAACTCTGTAAAATTCACTTATGCTCAAAATAACCAAATTGGCTAAAAAAAAATTATATTTATATTACTAGAGTTTTTTACCATGGCTCTGTGGCAGTGGAAGGAATTTAAATTTGAACATCAGTAACTTTTCCAAAATGAACACTTTGATTTTCAAAAAAAAAGAAACCAAATCGGCAGATCCTTGCTTAATCCAAATTATGAAAATATTTATATTTTTAAAATTGACCGGGAGCTTCCATTTAGGCTTTTTTTTGTAAATCATTTTTCTTTATTCTGTAAAAGTTAATTACTTAAGCTAAAAAGAACCTCTTGGCTCAAAAAAAAACTTTTTTCCACCTCCGTCTGAATATTATAATTTTTATATTTAAGATGGCTTTGGGACGGTGGATGGAAATTTAAAAAAAAATACAAAAAATATATATTTTTACCATACACAAGTATTCTATATACAAGCGTTTTAAATTTTAAAAATATTCATATTTCACACCACCTTAATATAAATATATACGTAACTATAAACAAAGATAATACACCCCGTAGATTGGAAACTCTCCCACGACTGCCCCCTAAAGCTACAATACCTGAACTATTTCTATTTGTAAATTGCAGACATCTGTAAAAACGCTATTTGCAAATGTCAATGTCAATCATAATTATTGATGTCGATCATAATTTTTGAATAATTAAATACATTTTTGCGCCTTAAAAGTGATAAAACGTGTTAATGGTTGTGAAATGTATTGTTGTTGGGTGCGGAAATGTAACAAATTTGTATAAATTTGTATAAGTATTGAGTATTTTGCCGTCCTAAGCCAAAAAGACTCATCTCATTATTATTAAATTATTCTCTTAGCAAAAAAGACGCAGTTTAACTATACATACATTTTTAAATATTATACATACATTTTTAAGTACTATATCTCCTAAAAATTTCTAATTAAATTGAACGTATCTTATGAAAAAAATAAAGCGCTATAATTTATAAAGTAAAAATGTGGAGTTGCGTCTTTTTGGCTAAGCACGGCAGTATCGCTCTAGCGTAAAAATACTGTTTGTTAATTATAAATTATTTAGGATTGCTTGTTTAATGGTAATTTAGTCCAGGCCAAGCCCAGGCTACTTATGGTTGTTTCAAAACCAAGAGTTGGCAAGATGGATTTTTCACGGTTGGTTAGAACTTGTCAAAAGTCCACACTCAAAAGCCTTGTACAAATTCCTATATGTATAAGTAGCCTGGACTAAATTACCAAATTTTGAAATATTCTCTTGTTATTGAAGAATTAAGACTAATAATTTTTAGGTTTGCACTCCCCAAACAAAATATATTTTATTTTATATTATATTATTACTACAATAAATAAATCTTATATTCATACTTGTTTTATTTAAAATAAAGCAGTAAATAGAATATACTAAGCATCAACATTCAAATATGGCGCCAATATATGTTACAGAAATCTACTTCAATTTTTGGCATTGCTAAGGGTATTGTAGACCTAGATGGCGTTAATTTACTTTAGCCTTTTGCCGCTAGCGCTAGTGCAGTTTCCAATCTACGGGGTGTATTTTCTTTGACTTTAAAAGCATATAAGGAATAATAAATCGAAATTGAGTACTTAAACCAAGCACAGTTTTTGAGTTTGTACTTGTAACGCGAAATACAAATAACGTTTGCGGTTAAGCTGTGCAATTGCAACTTTGCGAATAAAATGTCTTTTGTGAAATACCTACTTATAATTTGAAAATGATGTGCAGTTCGTATTCTTTATTGTGTGTGAGGCAAAATAAATGTTACGGTTTTTAATAAAATTTGTATTTAAAATTTTCTTATTTCTTTCATAATATTATATAAAAATATAAATTTAAGAATGGTTTTTTAAATATACTTTTACCAAATAAAATCATGCAGGTTGCTTCGCAACTACACTGTTCAAAATCCAGCTTTTTGAAATACCTAATCAGAATTAGTTAAGGAAAAATAAGGTAATATGCTTAAACGAGTAAAGCAATTTACCTTCTCGTTTATTAGGCAGAAACGAATGCCTTAGTTCTATGGTGTATTCACTAACTTCTAGATAAATATTTATACTTTACTTAATAAACTTGTCAAATTTAAAAAGATAGGCAGATTACCTAAATATTTAGTCAAAATCTCAATTACTTTTAGGTACGACAATTTTGCTTTTAATTTAGGTAATTCTTCTAAATTATTATGGCAAATTATTGAACTAATTTAGGTAAATTCCTTTAAATATTAGTGACTTACTTGCAATCGGCTACGATCGCTAATACCGACGTTTTAAGATAAATATTTGCGCCTATTATATATTATATATTGTCCACCATAATGCCAAAATCAACGAAAGCTTAAAGACCGCGTTGTGTGCTATTGATATAACAACATAGTTAACAATTATTGTGATATAAGTGAACATTTTGTAGTGCTATAGTTAAGTAATCCAAACTAAATGGAATTTCCCATTGACCCCAATTTATTTTTAAATAATCCCAACCCTGCAGGGTTGGGATTATTTAAAGGGTTCCGGTACGACATGTAGTACCGGAACCGCAGTTTTTAATTCGCTTAGGACACAAAGATAAAATTATATATGCTAGGATTTTCACTAAAAATATATATAATTTGCCTGAAAACTTAGCTAAAATCTACCTAAAAATAATTTAAGCAAATTGCCTTAGAAACAGGAAATTTATTCTTTTATTCTCAGGCAATATCCCTTACGATCTAAGGTGTATTATCTTTGAAACCTAAGTAATTTTGCTTAATTAATTGTATAATTTTCTTTAAAAACATCAGTTAAAGAATTTACTAATTTAAAAGGGGAATATTCCTCTGAATTCATTTTAAGCAGTTTGCCTTAAAAAATCAATGGTCCTATATAGTCTAATATTTTAGGTAAAAATTAGCTAAAATTTTGAACAGTGTATACAGAAGGAAATAACAGAAAGGACTTAATTGAAAAAAACAATAATTTGTCATTGAAACATTTATTGATTTATAATAACAAATTAAATTTGTTAACAAACTAAATGGTTAATTTTAATATTTTTTAAAATTAAAGAAAAAGTAAATAATAATTAATTATGTACCTTGGCATTGCAAAGGGGTCCCCTTTTTTTGATATTTTATATTTGTGGGACACCCTGTATTTGTAAAATTTACATTTCATATTTAAACAATAAAATACTAAGCTGATTTGCGGGTTATATTTTTAAACCTGACTACTGTGCAACTTTAATATATACAGTCAAAAAGTGACTAAAACATTGCTTACGGATTTCAAATAAGTAAAAATTAAGGAAATCTGTTAATAAAAATAATTAAATTTATTAATGTGGACTTATAGTACTAAATACGAGATTTTTTGTATATTAATAAATTAAATGTAACATGGTGGTAGGGCACAGGATGCTGTAGCACTTTTGGCCGGTACAGCAATGTCATCTTCTCCTAGTTCAGACAGGCCCTGTTTGCGTCTGTTTAATTCAACATTTGCCTCTTGAATCGCCTCCCATAATTTTGCTTCGGACATAATTTGTCGCGACAAATCCTCGACGGCCGGTTCAGCGCTCAGTTCCAAAAGACTTCCAATCGATTCGTCCATTTCTTCGCCCTGATCGGTCAAAGCCGGCAGATTCGATCTCTTTCTTCCACAACCTAAATTTAATTTTTACATTAATTAACCGTAAGTGTAAAAATAGTCTTTTTGTGCTGAGCTCAAATTTTGAATGCCGACGCGTAGCGGAGGTCTACAATTGATCGAGCGAAACACAAAAAGACACTTCTCAGCCGCATGGCAATACATAAAACGTATAATGGGGTTTGGGACATAATGTCGAAAATCAATGTGAAACTATTCTATTATAGAGATTAGTAACTAAATGCAACTATACCGTTGAAAAAAACTATATCTGCTATTAATATTTCCTTAAAAATTACTTTGAAAATGGATTTAGTCTCGTCCTAACACTTGAAGTGATAGGTTGGGCTACGGTCGTTAACGAGAACCCTCCTAAGCAGTGTAAACGATACAACGTAAGTACCAAAAACGAATCAAAGAATCCGGCAAATTATAGGAGGCAAGTGAATCAAAATCAGTAAAACGAAAAAAAAAGAAAAAAAGAAATAATAATAAGTTTGAAAAGTGCGGGTGGCTCCCGTTTAAGTCCCAAAGTGCTATAATGTTGTAAAAGTTTGTGGGAGAGTGAGTGATTAAGGTTAGGTCACACCGATAAGCTACCTGACCACCTGACTACCTGTATAGTCACCAGTGGTGACTCACCACAATCGGCGATTGCCAAGGAATACGGACTGTCCGCTAGGGATAGGAAAACAGAATTCAAGTCTAATTAGTCCAGCTAAGTAATTTTCCTAATTGCATGACCTAATAACAGTACAAATTCGATTCCAATCTAAAAACTAATCGTTGAATACTTATATACGCAAAGTTAGCAGTGTTATTACCAAAAATGTCATCTGGCTTCAGAAAACAAACAGGTCTCTACACTGATAAAAGTAAACTATTTCAAGTTTTAATTAACTGAACAGTTTTTGCACATTCAATACGACCAATGCGCATAATTGTTTAATTAAAAGTCTCGAAATGTTACCTACAGTCTTAACATTAAACTTGTACAGTTTTTAAATATACATTTTTATTACTACAAAAATGTACAAAGATTTCAATTAATGCAATTCAGACAGTAAAGTAATGAAAAATCTCTAATATAAGGACTCTTGTATAACAACCTCTGATTGTTTGTTTAAGATTAATTTTTATTTGTTTCAAAAACATAATTTTTAATTAAAAATAAGAATAACATTTCCGTAAGTGTTAAACTAACAACCTCATTTTTCTCAGTCTAGACAACCCATAAACAACTTAACCAAATAGAAAAAGGCGTAAGAGTAAATAAACCACCAAGCAGGAACGAACCAAAATTTAGATTTTAAAAATAAGTGTTGTGTGTGTACCTAATAGGTAAATATAATATTGTATGTATATATATATAATATATATATATATATATATATATATATATATATATATATATATATAATATATATATATATACATACATATTATATATACATACATATTATATATATATATATATATATTATTAGGGTGAGCCAAAAAAACTAACCTATCGGATTTATGAGTTAAAATGAACCTACATACCGAGCAAAAAATTTCCCTGCAAGGCAAAATTTTTTGCTCAATTTTAAAAGGTGTCGGTGAGCATTCTAAGTTTTCCATTGAAATAACACGTAAAAAAATCTTTTTTCATTAAAAATACCATAACTTTTGAACCGTTTGAGATAAAAATTTTTACGTCGCGGATTCTTGTAGAGCATAACATTTCCCAAAGAATCTATACCAGGATTATTTTTTTTAATTCAAAAATTCGTATGTTTGAAAGCTTTGAAAAGTGTAAAAAATCCCTAAAACTGCAGTTTTATCTCAAACGGTTCAAAAGTTATAGTCTTCTTAATGAAAAAAGATTTTTTTACGTGTTATTTCAATGGAAAAATTAAAATGCTCACCGACACCTTTTAAAATTGAGCAAAAAATTTTTCCTTGCAGGGAAATTTTTTTCTCGGTATGTAGGTTCATTTTAACCACAGACCTGTTTGTAGGTCTGTGATTTTAACCCATAAATCCGATAGGTTAGTTTTTTTGGCTCACCCTAATATATATATATATGCATTTAAATATAGGCATTAACTAAGATACCAGCCCATAAATCAAAGCTTAAAATAAACAAAAGCCTAAAAAGTAAACAACAACATCACAGAAGATAAGAAGAGCGTCCCTCTCTATATCCAATGCCTGCCATAGGGCAGTATTCCAATTACGTACACTTCAGGGCCGGCTTTATCTATTTTTTATATTAATATTTATATTTTTAAATTAAATTTGGAAAAAAAGCAAGAATGCAAAGATATAAATTAAATGTAAACGGTATAAACACTACTTTAACAATAAAATAAATAAAGAATATACAAGTACGGTAGCCAGCACTCGGCATGAGGAATATCCACCAAGGCAGAGGGCACTTACGGCGGATCGTGGCCGTCAACACTTCGGTACTGAAGACAAGATTCAGTATCTCACAGGGGGGGAAACAATTCTAAAGAGGTTACCAGTAACCGGAAACTGACTCGGACAGAGACTTCCAGAAATACACCAACAAGGACAGGTTCTAGCAGCGTACTTGTTGTATAGGCAACTAAGTTGTATAGTAGGTTGCCTACAATAATATGTAAAGTTGGTAACTAACCTAAAGCAGGTTGCCACCACTGATTGTTAAAATGAACGTCGTAATAAATGTATGTAAAATGAAACAAGTTTTAATACAGATATAACATGGTGTCAGGTGAAACACGAAAAGAAAAAAACAATATACTTAGTGTATAAGTAAATACTTAGTGTATATTCAAAAGTAAATACTTAGTGTATTGGCAGAAAAGCATAGAAAAGTAGAAGAAAACACGAGGGCGTGAAACAAAATGGAGGCAAGTATAAAGCCGCCAAAAGGCCTTATTGTCGAAGGTGAAACAGCCAATTGGAAAAAATTTAAGCAACAGTTTGAGCTCTATTTAAAGGCAACGGCACAAGAGAGCAAGGATGATGAAACGAAAATTGCCATATTTCTTAGTGTGGCTGGAGAAGATGCATTAGACATTTATAACACATTTAAGCTAAGTGAACAAGAACAAAAAGTATACAACACAGTAGTAACAAAGTTTGAGGATTACTGCTTGCCAAGACATAATGAAATATGTGAAAGCTTTAAATTTTTCTCCAGAGTGCAGCTACCCGATGAAACTTTTGACCATTATCTAACGGAGTTAAAGATTTTGGCAAAACGATGCAACTTTGAAAACCAGGAGGATAGACTCATAAGGGACCGCATAGTTATTGGAACAAGTGACAAATCTCTACAGGAGAGACTGCTCAGGATCTCGAGTCTAACATTGGAAGAAACAACAAGGCAGGCCAGAGCAGCGGAGTCGGGAAAACTTCAAGTAAAAACCTTGCAAGAAAAATCTGCAATGGTAGCAGCCGTGGAAAAAGAAAAAAGGTATGAGAAAAAAGAAATAATAAATGAAGCAAAAAGGGTGTGCAAAAAATGCATGAAAAGTCACAAATTTGGTGAGTGTCCTGCATATAATAAAATCTGTGCTATATGTAAAAATAAAAACCACTTTGCTGTGGCATGTTTTAACAAAAACAAACAAAATGAGAGCAATGTTAATCAATATAAAGGTAAATTTAGTAGTAGTAATAAGTATAATTATAAAAAACAGGTAAATGAAGTAAATGTTGAAAGTCTGCATTTAGACATGATTTTTCAAAATAATAAAGAAAAACAGTGGTTCCAAGAGGTGAATGTATCAGGGGAAAGCATTTCATTTAAGTTAGATACGGGGGCTCAGTGTAGTATTTTACCCAAAGATAAAGTTAAAAACCACCATATTAACCCAACATCTACAATGTTGGTTGTGTATAATGGTAATAAAATTAAACCATTGGGAACTATTAGTCTAAAAATAAAACTTAAGGATACAGAAGCCTTTGTAAAATTTTTTATACTAGAAAATAATGCAATACCTATTTTAGGTTTACAAGACTGTATAAATCTTAACTTAATTAAAAGGGTTGAAAGTTTAGAAAAAAAAGATCTTAATATAGAGGTAAAAGAATTTTTAAAGATTCATAGTAAAAGCTTTTCAGGGTTAGGTAAAATAGGCCAGTACCACATAAAACTAATAGAAAATTCGGAGGCAATAATAAAACCAATAAGAAGAGTACCAGAGGCAATAAAAGAAGAATTAAAAAAGACTCTTGACAAGTTAGAAGAAGCTAAAGTAATTACCAAAATTAATGAACCAACTGACTGGTGTCACAATTTGGTGATAGTGGAAAAACCCAATAAGACGTTGAGGTTATGTCTGGATCCAAAAGAACTAAACAAGTGCATAAAACGAGAAAGATACCTAATACCTTCAGCTGAAGAAATTTGCAGCAGACTTGCAGGAAAAGAAATATTTACTGTACTAGACATGAAGGATGGATTCTTTCAAGTCGAATTAGACAAAGAAAGTAGCTTGGTATGCACATTTGGAACTCCATTTGGGAGATACTGTTTTAACAGAATGCCTTTTGGTATATCGTCAGCACCAGAAGTTTTACAGAAAATGAATTTTAAAATATTTGGAGATCTAGAAGGAGTTGAAATATACTTTGACGATGTAATAATCGGAGGTAAGACTGAAAAAGAGCATGATGAGATACTGAAGAGAGTAATGAAAAGGGCAGAGGAAAACAATGTAAAATTTAACCCAACAAAAATTCAATATAAGGTAAATGAGGTTAAATATGTGGGCTTAATAATTTCAAAAACAGGAATAAAAGCTGATAAAAAACAAGTAGAGTCTATATTAAGACTTGATGCACCAAAGAATACCAAGGAGTTACAAAAATTTATTGGTATGTGTAATTATTTCAACAAATTTATTCCAAACTTTTCAGCTTCTACAGCACCATTACGAGAGCTACTTAAAAAAGATATATTGTGGAGTTGGGATAAACCACAACAAGAGGCATTTGAAGAACTGAGGAGGAAATTGTCTTCCATGCCGACTTTGAGAATAATGGATCCAAAACTTCCAGTGAAAATACAAACAGACAGTTCCAAAGATGGACTAGGGGCTTGTATGATGCAAGAAAATCAACCCATATCATTCTATTCCAGGAGTTACACTGAGACACAAAAAAGGTGGGCTCCAATAGAAAAAGAGTTATTTGCAGCATGTGCAGCGGTAGAGAGGTATCACCAATTTATTTATGGAAGAAAAGTTGTCATTGAAACTGACCATAAACCGTTAATCTCGATAATTCATAAGGATATAAATAATATAAGTACTAGGTTGCAAAGAATGATATTAAAGTTGATAAAATATGACTTAGAATTCGTATATACTCCAGGGGAAAAACTTTACATAGCTGATTATCTATCAAGAAACTTTATAAAGGACAATAAAGAAGATGACCCAAAACTACTAGAGGTAGTTCATTGCATTGGGGAAGACCTACCTATAACGGAAAGAAGACTAAAACAGTTAAGAGAAGAAACGAAAAAAGATGAAAACCTAAGGTTAGTATTAAAGTGGTACAAAGAAGGCTGGCCTAAAAATAATAAAAATATCTATGGTTTAGAATTAAAAACTCTTTATAAAGTAAAAAATGACTTAACAGTGAAAAATGACGTAATATTCTTTGGTAACAAGGTAGTTATTCCGAGGGTAATGCAAAATGAAATGCTTAACCTAATACACTCCTCTCATTTTGGTATAACTAAATGTAAGAAGCGTGCAAGATCGCTATTGTATTGGGTAGGTATGTCAAGTGATATAGAGAGATTAGTAAGTAAATGTAAAAGTTGTGAAAAATTTCGTCCCACAAATATTAAAGAACCTCTAATACCACATGATAGACCTCCCTTGCCATTTTTTAAAGTTGGTATTGATATTTGTTATTTTGAAAATAGTGATTATTTGATATTAATTGACTACTATTCCAGATGGATAGAAGTTAAAAAACTGTATAACAAGACTGCAAACTGTGTAATTAAAAATTTAAAAGAGATTTTTTCAACATTTGGAATACCTAAAACTATCATGAGTGACAATATGCCTTTTGCTAGTTTAGAGTTTAATAGATTTGCCAAGGAATGGGAAATTGAAGTTATTCATAGTAGTCCTAGGTATCCAAGGTCAAATGGATTAGTGGAGAAGGCAGTAGGGATCACAAAAAACATTTTTAAAAAGTGTAGAGACAGTCATACTGATCTGTGCATGGGTTTATTGGGATATCATAATACACCAATAGCAGGTTTAGATTATAGCCCTTCTCAACTTCTTCAAAGCAGAGTTTTAAGGTCACTCTTACCATGTACAACAGATGTCTTAAGGCCCTGCATTGTACCTAATATAAATAAAGATAATGTACAAATTCAAAACAGAAGTAAGACATATTATGATAAGTCAACTAAATGTAAATCACCTTTTGAAAAGGGGGATAATATATTAATACAAAATTTGCCAACAAAGGATTGGACTCCCGGTAAAGTAGTAGACGTCCACAATAATAGGTCTTACACTGTGCAGAAAGAAAATGGCGATGTCTTAAAAAGAAATAGCTTTCATTTAAGGCCTTCGCAAAATAATGTAGAAATTAAGCCTGATTGTGACTTAGAGACTCCTAATGTAAATGAACCCGATGTTACAGTTAAAAGTGAGACAGTTTATAGTGAAGTGGACACTAATGAAAACATTACAGTAACAAGAGCAGGTCGTATCTCAAAGAAGCCTGCTTATTTAAAGGATTTTAGTTTTTAAGAAATATTGTTAAATAATGGGGATGTTGTATAGGCAACTAAGTTGTATAGTAGGTTGCCTACAATAATATGTAAAGTTGGTAACTAACCTAAAGCAGGTTGCCACCACTGATTGTTAAAATGAACGTCGTAATAAATGTATGTAAAATGAAACAAGTTTTAATACAGATATAACAGTACTACCACTTCTAGTAGAAGTCTTCTACCCCCG